ATTACATAAAAAGAAAATAAATTTTTTATTTTTTTATGGTCCGACATTAGATAAAAAATTATTTTTAAAAAAAATTCATAACGGTCGATCAATTTTACGAGATCAATGATCTCAATTATAAATTTCGATCATAAATTTTGATTGGTTACTAGATTTGACGATCAAAATGCCGATCGAATAACTTTGAAATGGCCTTCTAATACCTCATTGAGATTCTGACTCTTTGATATAATTAGATGCATTACTCTGATCGTCTCACGAGAAAACGAATTTTTTGCAAAGAAAAAAATTCGATTTGTGAGTTATTACACGTAGAGTCCTGGGAAAGCACATGCGATTGGCTAAGTTTCTTTTCCAGATTTCTCTGCCTAATCTCATTACTAACCTTTTTTTTATATACCTTATCTAAGAAAGCATCCGTTTCTCTATCATCCTCTAATGATTTGCTGTTAAAGTTCTTCGCAGATTTGGTAGTATCATACTGGTCTGCAACAGATGATATATTAATTTGATCTGCTAAAAGTGCTAAAGGCAAAGGTATTGAATCGATTAGAGACTTTGGTACAGATGTATTGCTTTGTGTCGAAATATTAACAGCATTTTGTTCCTGTTTGATTTCCCTGATATCATCATCTAATTTAGCAATAAGGGTGAAGTGGAATATCACCATATGGGTTGATTGCTAGGAAAATCAGGTTCTGGGAATTTTTTAACAAAATTGAGATTTTTATTGCATTTTAGTTCTTGATGTTATTAGATTAAAATGCATTAAGCTTTTAATTTTAGTCAAAAATTTCTCGGAACCTGATTTTCCTAGAAACTCTCCCATATAGTAATATAAGTTATGAAGATATGACTAAGCTTTTCCTCTTTTACAGGATTTTAAGCCACATATTCGTATTTCAAGAACAAAGTCCCCTCAGAAATTATATGAATATTTTGATAACGAATTATGAACGGAGCTTTTTGTCGAGTTTCGTGGGCTGTATCCATATGTACTGATCCCGATAAGATTAGTAATCTGTTTTTTAAACATCGTTAAGATAATATGTTTAATTTCTGAGGAGGCACATATTTCAGTTCTAATTATGAGTATCTGCAGATCCTGTGTGAGGAACTAAATCAAATCGAACGTCAAAAACTTGCAAGGCGCTATTTACGAAATTTTGAAGCTATAACCGAAGAAGAAGAAATAATCATAGAGATGTTTAAGGAACTGTATGTTTTGCGAAAATCGCAATGAAAGTTTTGTGTTCAAAATGAACTTAATCTCGTTTGTTACAGGATTGACAACGAGCAGTCCTCATTCATAAGAAATTATGTTGCTGAAGACACCCATACAATTCGAAACATCACCCCAATAATATTAAACCTTTCTTTAAAAATAATAAAAGAATTACCTTTGAAGGGTATATGTTGATAATTAATAATTAATGGAGTGGTATTAGTAGTATTATGTTTTTGTTGTGACAAGCCTTATTTTATTTTTCTTTTTTCGCGTACAGAGCGAATAAGATGTTGGAATCATCGACAATCGCAAAAAGACGTTTTGATTCTGAACATTTGGTACAAAACCTGATTTCACTGTCATGATCACAAATTCACAAAAATACGTTGAATTGTTTATCAAACCCAATAAAACGAACAATGCTCTTATTTCGGAGGATCTTATCTCCCTTGGGAAAATGATGACATGTGCGATAGATAAATCTATCAAAGACAGTGCATATGACCTGGTTATATGTGGCATGCAGGTTATCGGTAAATACATTTTGTAAAAAAAATAATAGTGCAATCTCTGTTTTTCATATTGAAATTTTCATTTTTTTTTTCAGGGTTCTTGGGAAGAGCCTATGTGATGGACCTCCGGTTCGAAGGGATCTACTGCATGATATTAATTGGAGAGTTCGAGCTTCCAAGGGGTTCCACATCATGGGATACTGCCTTGCAGTACTATTGAGTCTTGAGCATAATTTGAGTAAACAGGCGATCAATTATGCAGACATTATTTATATAAGGTTATTAATCCTAATGTATCTTTCTAGGTTATAGTCAATAATGGGGTCACATCGTATCAGACCGCAATAAGAATGAACAAACAATCAAAATCAAGCATGATGATCAAGCCAATGTTTCATAGTCCAACGAAGGTATATTCATGTGATTTCGTTGAAGTAAAATAAAGCTTTGATCTTTCTCCTTTTTTTAACTTGTGTATGCTATTAATAAAACTTTCTGAACCTGATTGAGGTAAGACAGAAATGAGTGGTATAGGATCGAAAGTGTATGACGTAAAAATAAGTTGTGTATGATATACATCACACAATTCAAATGTTTTAATTACTATATATATAATAATGTTTGAAATGTGTAGTGTACAGTATATTATTTGTAATATATATTTTTTAATTAAAAATAATTAAAAAAATTTATGAATAAAAAATTTTATTTTAAAACCTAGCCAGTTATTTTTTTCTTCCAATAACCACCTGCATCTTTTTCCTAGTCATGGTATTGGTCAAAGTCACGATCTTTGGTTTATTTATTTTTTAAGGATCGAAAATTCAATAAATTATTTATTTAAAAGTTAAAATTGGATTAAAAGATTTTCTTTTTTTATTGTTATTTATATATTATTGTAAGGGAGACGAGGTTTTTTTCTAAAAATTTTAGGATCTTAACGATTATGAGGGTTAGTTCTGAACATCAATATGCTATTTAATATTTCATATTCTAAGAGGATGTTTTGGTTTGTCATAAACGCTGAGCAGTCAAGATGAAATATTTTGACGTTATCACAGGTGAAACATCTACTGAGGGCAACGTAGGCTTGTCCAGAGGAGAAAATGTTTTCATCTAATGTGAGAGATACTTTTGATAGGGTCAGGCCTTGGGTTTTGTAAACGATAAGGTAAAGGCGTTTTGGAGTGGATATTGTGTACGATGACAATTAGTTCCATATAATTCAAAATAGTGGGTTTGTTTGTAGATAGTCATGTTGATGATAGAACCTTTGATCAAAAATGCAATACAAACAGATTGGTTTGTAAGGTCAATATCGGTGATGATTTCTATGATGATATTGCTTATTCCTTGTTCAATCAGTAAGTTGTTGAGATACATGACATGTGCGTCTGATTGTAATCTAATGGAGTAAGGTAGGTTGGTTTTGTTCTTAAAAATACGTTCAGAAAAAGAGACCTATTGTGTAGAATCTATGACATCAGTAGGTTAGGAAATTAGGAATTTTTCATCAGATATGTGGAGCATATTACAGACCCTTTTGTTAATCTGTTGAGCAGTTTCTCTAAAACTTATGATGTTAGTGATGTTGAGAAAGATGTCAGTTGCAGGATATATTAGGAATTCTGAATGTCTTCATTCAAGGATTCGCTATATTTCAAATATAATGCTGCCTATTCAGACTTCTTGTAACATTTAGTAAAATCTGCTATCAGTTTGTTGGCGTTATGATATACTTAAGAATAAGGGTAAAATAAGGTCTAAGTTTGCACGAAATATTGGTTGAGCATTAATAAGGGGTAATTGTGCAAGACTGTTACTACTATAACATTTATACTTCCAAATGTGATAGCATTATTTTTAAATGTTGCGAATATATTTGATATGAAATTGAGAAGTTTATCAGATACCATTGATATTTCATCTATGATTATAGTATTGATTTTTTTTAGGAAATCACTTAGTTCTTTATTTGCATAGGCTTGTATACGAAGATTTCCTTAGGTGAATATAATTTGTAATACGGAATGGATAGTTTTCCTTCCTATATTTTGGGTGGTAACTCCAGTTGGTACTAAGAGGTAATTTGAATTGTTATTTTTAAGAGTATTTATTATTAGATTAATAACGTAAGATTTTTCAATTCTTGCTAAGCTGGTAATGAAGTAATATGACCATTTTATATCATCATTTTTGTCTATATATAAAGTAATGATTGATAGGGCATAATATTAGTCTTCTAGTAGTCTAAGTATTATAGTTTCTGGGAATATGTGAGGGATGGTTTAATGTTTTCTAATTTTAATCATATTATATTGTGAATGTTAGTAGGGATCTCTTTACATAATGTATGTAATAGTCTATCTAAGATTTTAGCAAATTGGTTATTTAGATATATAATACATGATTGATATGTATTTGCAGTTTGATTTCATAGGTTAGTTAGAAAATCAGGAAATAATGATAAAAATTTTTGCGATAAGTTCCATTTAGTCTATTTTTATAATTACAGTGGTTGACAAAAGAAACGCAACAACTTATTTTTAGCTTTAAACGCTTATAACTTATTAACTACAAATGCTAG